GCTTCTATTAAGATTAAATGAAATACAGGTAACTACAGGAGACAGATTAGATTTAAGTACACATGTAGACCAATGTCCCATGAGCCTTTGCTGCCCGAGCCTATGTCAAACTTTCTCTAAGAGCACGGGCTAAAATAAAACAAACAAAAAAAACAATGATCACCGCGTTCCCCGATAGCTTAATCATAAAAAATAAAAGGACTGTACTTAAGAAGTATTTCATATTTTATATTATTGCATTTGGCTCGCAGCCAATAGATTTTCATTTTAGCCCTGTCAGGGAAAAAAGTTTGCTTTATAAGGATGCTGAGCTTTTCCCAAACTCTTTCTTATAATTATTTTATTTATGACTCAAAGGTTTGTAAGTATGATGGTTATGAAATGCTGCATCTCGTATTAGAGGAGAACTAACAAAGGCTTTTAATCTGAACATATAGGCTGTAAAAGAACAAGCGGTAATAAAAAAAACTACCTACTTGCACATTAAAAGCCGAGATATTCTGCTCGACCAGGATATAAATAAATAAAGAAAAACGAAAAGAAAAGGGGGGCTGAGTTAAAACGATCAAGATTCAGGGCAGCTGCTGTGTGAAAAGGTAAATTATTCCACAGTTTGGGGGGCTGACACACAAAAAAAAAACACAGCCTGGATTCATTAACATCAAAGAACTGGTTTGACGACTTCAGTGTTCTGAACCTTTACACCAAATATTTCAAATTGGATTTTAAAATAATGATTTAGGTTTAATGTGACCTTTCTTTCCTGTCAGAAGATGCTTCTATTTACAGCCTGCTGACGAGGAGCAGCATAAAAAAAGATTTGAAATAATCAAAACAAAAGAAATGAAGTATGAGGAACTCTCAGGCCTTAAGGAGTTTTAATTAAACAGCTCGTCTTTGCAGCCGAGTTTATCAGTTCATCAAGTTTTGAACACAGAGTCAGACTAAAGCTGCAGGCAAACAGGTAAAAATGAAATGATTGTGATTTAATGGCACCGTTAAATTAATTCCTGCTTGTTTTGTCTTCTGGTAAAAGAGGTTTTCTGTGGTTCTGCATGTCTGAGGCTGAACCGTGCAGCAAAGAGGAAAATCAGCTGAAAATGTGACAGAGAAGCAGAAGCACCGGAGGCACTTTCAAAGCTTGTCAGAATGATGGAAAAGCCCTGGATYCTTTTGGCTTCAGCAGTCAGTCTGCAGCAACGCAGTCGAAAACTTTTTCCCGTCCTCGTGTCTTTTTTTTTTCCTTCTAAATCTTCATCCTTCCCTTAAATACAAACTGAGCATCGTCTCCCTGCCGGCACTTAAGCCTGCAGGGAAAGTTCGCCCGGTCTCCTCCTCAGCTCTGAGGCTGAGCAGCTCAGCCTCATCAGCCCYGCTGCAGCAACAGGGAGGCAAGATGGAAGAGCTGATCTATACGGTGTCATTAAACTGATTTGTTTCTGCTTTTCTGCAGGGGGGGTTTCCCTTGATGTGCACACGGAAAACGTTGGAATGATGAAATGTTCCGACAGCCCCCATTTTTTTCTGCGTTTGCCTGTCATTTGATGCTCTGCACAGACAGGGGTGTCAAGTCTGCCTGTTCAAATGTGTCACGCCAGAGACATCCAAGCCCTAAACACATGTTTCCAGACAAATCCCCTAAAAAAAAACCATGGATGCAAACAAGCAAAGCAAACAGGTGAGCTTAGAGCCTCACTTTACTTCTCCAGGAGTCTTTTTCTCTCCACTTTAAATTCACAGACGAAGCGTCAAAAAGCACTGACTCCTGCRCCTGAATCCCCCCATAAAACAGCCCAGCTGCAGCCGGATTCCTGAATGAGAGACAGACAAGAGATGCAGGCAGGCTCACCATTGATCAAAGCGCAGAATCCAGAGAGGAGCAGAGCCACAGAGTGCCACATCCTGGCATTGAACCACCGGAGGAGAAGAAGAGGCAGGAGAGGAGAAGCTCCAGATGTCAGAGGAAGAAAACCAAAAGAGGAGGGGATGGAGAGAGGGGGGAGAGAGAGAGAGAGAGAGAGAGAGAGAGAGAGAGGACAAGGGAGCTGCTGGGAAACCTTCCCTCTGCATCCAGTCAGCATCAGATGGAAGGAGTATCAGCGAGCGAGGAGGAAGAGGAGGAGGAGGAGGAGGTGTGGGCTCTGTCTGTCTCTCTGGGAGGTGGGCCTAAAATGGGGAAAAAAAGAGAAAAAATGTCAGAGATGAGGGTGAAGGCAGAGAGGTTTTAATTAAATCACCACGAAGTGACCTCACCAAAGACATACAAAAGAAAAGTGCATGATCTGAAAAGTTTAGCCGTTCCAAAAGCCTCAGCTGGAGAAGGAGGAGCATAAAAATCCAGGAGCAGCTTTAGTCTGACAAAAAACTGTTTAGCTGCCTGTGTCCCTCTCATCCCTTACATTGTAACAACTGGATTACTCCCTAAATCCTTATTAGTTTCATACATA